GGCCTCACCTGACTGTGCCAGGAATAATATCCAAAGGGCAAAAGGGCAAAAGCTGGGATTCCCCCAGTTGTCTGTTGTAGATATATGGAACAACTCCTCAGCCTTGGCACAGAGATGGGGATTTTTGAAGCCAGTACAGTGGCTGATACACACCCCCCCCATTCCTGCTTCATCCCAGATAAAGGGCTGGAGCATGGAAGGAATCCTGCCCTGGGAGGGTGGGGAGGCCCTGGCACAGGTTGCCCAGAGAAGCTGTGGCTGCCCCATCCCTGGAAGTGTCCAAGGCCAGGTTGGAGCAACCTGGGATAGTGGAAGGTGTCCCCGGGTGGAACTGGATGATCTTTAAGGTCCTTCCCACCCAAACCATTCTGGGATTCTGTGACAATCCAACATCAGCTCAGGCTGTTGGTTAATGCACACAGGCCCCAAGGCTGCCAGAGCTCCAGGAGGGTTTGGACAACACCCTCAGGGACAGGGTGGGATTGTTGAGGTGTCCTGGGGAGGGCCTGGGGTTGAACTGATGATCCTCATGGGTCCCTTCCAGCTCAGGATATTCCACGATTCCTGAAGCTGTTTGAACAAACCTGAAAACACCAACGAACAAAAGAGCAGCTTTGGGAAGACCCACCTGGGGTTTATGGTCGCTGCAGTGCCCGCATCCCACATTCCAGAGCCTCTCCATGCCCGCATTCCCGGCCCGCTGGATCCCGAGCCGAGCGGGATCGCTTCGCCATCTGGTGGCAAATCCATGGAAACGCCGAGACACCTGGGAAAACCGCAAAAAACCCACTCGCTGCTCCTCCGAGGGTTTCTCTCAGAGTGACCAGGTGGGAAATAACCCGTCGGAGCAAAGCTTTTCCCGCTGATAAAAGTTCCCAATAAACCCTTTCCTTGCCCAGAAAATCTTCTCAATGACATGCTTTGAGTTCCTTCTCCACAGACTCCCTTTTGTGTGATTTTTCCACTGAAAACATGATTTTCCTGCTTTCCTTTTGCAAAGGAAGGATCAGCTCGTTCACTGTTTGCCTCCCCGAGTTACAAAATAAGCCACTAACAGCCCAAAATTATTCAGAGACAGTCAAAAAACACCTTGAGAAGCACAGGGCTTAAGGGAATAATTGTAATTTGTAATTACAAATTTTGCCATAGCTGTTGTTTTCTCATCCAGTTTCCTCCCAGTGATTCCTTTCCCAAAGAGAGTCCCACAGAAAGCATCTGTTTTCTCATGAATGTTTATTATGAACAAATATTACAATGCAGCCATTCCCACTCCTCAGTACATGCTCGTAGCAAGGGAACTACCATGACCTTGAAAACTCAGGGGGAGGAAGGTGATGACTACACAAAACTCCAGAATTTAAAATAAAATAAAATAAAATAAAATCAAGAGATCTTTCAAGGCGACCACGAGATGTCGTGTAATTCCAGCTGCAAAAGCTCCCTACCACCAATTCCTAACAGTTTTACAGAAATCCAGGGAATTGCAGCATCAAAGTCAAGGGCCAGACATTTATTCCAAGATCATATAATGAAGGAGAGCTTTTAATTTGATTCCATCCAGTAATGAACTGCTCAGGGCACGGGAATATTTCTGCCTGGGCTCCTCCATCCAATGACTTGGGTAACAAAAAGATCAGATACTGTTAGAAATCCTTAAAAAACCCCACAAATCAGTAAAACCTACACAAAGGGGGATAAATCTTGTGTTACCAAAGGCAAGGAGACATAAAACCATTGCAAAGGGGTCAGGGATTGCTCCCAGCTTCCCACAGATGGCACCTGGAATGGCTGGCAAGTCTTTCTCCCAATCCAGGGTACTCAAGAGAAAAAACTGCAAATGTGGAAGTTTTGGGTTTTTAAACACAACCAATCCTCAGGGAAAAAAAAAATGCAGCATGTCCAGGGTTTGACCAAAGGGGGTTTTGTTTCTGCAAACCAGAGACCCACCTTCACGTGCTCAGGTGCAGCTCAAGGCCAACTTCTTGCCATGGAGTAAAAAGCCTTTTCTTCACCATCTCTGCCTGGTTTTCCCTGAGCTTGGAGAGGTCAAAGAAGGTGCAAACACACCCCATCCAAGGTCTCCTTGCCTTTGTCTTGGTTTTTTGTGGATAAAGACTTCCAGAAGAGAAGATAAACATGGATAACCAACAGAAGGTGCTGTCTGGCAATGGCAGGAAAAGGCAGTGCAAGGACACAAACAGGTTTGAGAGGTGCAACCTCCTCCTCCTGCCTGGAGAATAAAAACATGAGCCATTCCAAAAATTCCAGCCCTGCAGGAAAGTCATGGCACTGCCCCCTCCTTCCCAACACACCCCCAGCCCCACATAACTCGTTTCTAGGATTAAGCACATATGAGAGGTAAATGAAAAAATAGTTATAAATAAGATTTGGTAAAACCATAAAATAATAAGAATAAGAATAAAAAAAAAACATAATCAAAGATTTTATAAATACACTTTAAAATCCAGCCTTTTCCAAATCCCATCCTCACACACCCTGACTCCTTCCCTTCCTCACGTCAGGAAGAACTGCTTTAAGATTTCTTTAGTAAAGAGCTGTTCTGCTGATTTTGGTAATTCCTACCTATTGCAGAGAATTGGTCACGTTTATTGGTGCTCTGAGCTGTTGGCTCATGGGTTGACAGGACATTTTTTTTGCTTATAATTCAAGATACCAAGAAGCTGAGAGAGAGAGAGAGAGAAAATCTGAAAGGGGAAATAAGACAGTTTCAAAACATTCTTAGACACATGAGGTAATTATTTATTTGGGCTCTTCAGAATAATTAAAATAAGACTATACAGTGAGTGCAGAGCTTTTATCCCTGCTACCACCTTGGACAGTTGTAGCATTGACAGTGTGTCCTGCCAATTCTGAAAGGCACAGCAAGTTTGCCTCTGCTGAAACAAAGCTTTTGGGTAAAATTCAAGCAGGAGGGAGAGAAATCAAGCAAACTCAATTTAAAAAAAAAAAAAAAGTAATTTCAGACAGACTTTTTGAACTTCAGTGTTTACCCACAGTGCTGGAAGCCTGTGAACAAACAGCAATATTTATCAGTCACCTGAAGGGGAACAGTGATGAACTCACAGCTAAAAGCTTCCAGAATTCCAGATGAATTTTGGGGTTGGCTTTTGGTGGTGGTGGTGTTTTGGTTTTTTTTTTAAGAGTGAACAGTGGAACTAATTTTAAGGGTTAATTCAGGCAGTGACACTTCAGATGGATTATCAGCTGACTCTGAGGAAGCTGGTTTGTCACCCCCTTCCCAAGGGCTGGGGTTGCCTCAATCCCCACAGCCTGAGGAATGCAGAGATTTTGGAACACACAATCAACTCTCTCCATTGGTGGGTGCAGTTTTATTATCATTTCACCAGTGGCCCCTTGTGATCAGAAGGAACTATTACAACTTTCCAAAAGAACATCTCCCAGAATGAAAATCTGTGAGTGAACAAATCCCAAACAACCCTGGAGATGGGTATTCCCACTAGAGGCTGATTCCAAGGCTTTTTTTTTTCTTGCTAAGGGCCAACAACTGCACTTCTTGTAGCCCAAAGAAAACCTTCAATGACACTGTGACAATTTAGACAACACATTTAACACGCTGGGGTGTTATGTTCCCACTCATCTAATCACTACTGACTAGATATGCAATGATGGTCATTCTAGTTGGAAAACAAAGAAACCAGCAATTTTCTGTAGAATCAAATGTTCACATTTAACCAAACCCTTCCCAAGTCCACGTGGAACCCCTACTCGAATCACTGAACACCTGGACAGACCCTTTCCTACCGAAAATAAAATGATATGCAGTGAATGGCAGAGTTTTAAAAATTGTACAGTGAAGTAAAAAGCCTTATTTGCTCGAGATTTTTCGAATTTCCAACAACAGATGGAGGACTGCTATAAAAAAATCAAAGCACTAGAAATGTAGTGTCTCATCAATAATGCTTTGACTTGTGAGAAACTACCAGAGAGCAGCAAAAGTTTCTGCCTAACCCAAACCTAACTCCAACTCTCCACGAGCCAACAAAAGATCTCTCCCAGCGCCAAAGAGCCCAGCTGCCCAAAAAAAAAAAAAGAGTCCCACCACTCAATTCTGCAAAACTACCGCTAGAATTTGGTCTTGGGGGTGTTTTTTTATTTGCTCTCCTCCTCACTCTTGGGCTATGCTCCTCAGGACATACTTCACTGTGTAGGCAAAGGCTGCGAAGCCCACGATGACAAACAAGTTCGCCAGAGCTCCGCCCAAGAGTCCATGGTTGCGGTTGGGCTGCTGGAGCCCGGGGTGGTTGGCAGGGGCCAGGGGCACGTGCCCGTTGAGGAGGGGGAGCCCGTTCTGACCGTAGTGCGCGTCCCCGTCGGGCACCACGTCGGGCAGAGGCAGGGAGGGAGGTCTGTTGTTGAGCTCTTCTTGTGCTTTCTGTTTTTGTTTGATCTCCTGGAGAGGGAAAGAAAGAAAAAAAGAGACCTGAGTGGTTGGAAGCGGAAGTCCGTAGAGCTTTGGGTGCTCTGACAGGATTGGAAATAGAAGTCGTGGAGCTTTTGGTGCTATGAAAGGATTTCAAGTGAAAGTCATAAAGCTTTGGGTGTCCTGAAAGGATTTCAAGTCAAAGTCATGGAGCTTTGGGTGTTCTGAAAGGATTTCAAGTGAGAAGCTTTGGGTGTCCTGAAAGGATTGCAAGTGAAAGTCATGAAGCTTTGGGTGTTCTGAAAAGATTTCAAGTGAAAGTCGTGGAGCTTTGACTGTTCTGAAAGGACTGGAAGTGAAAGTCATGAAGCTTTGGGTGCTCTGAAAGGACTGGAAGGTAAAGTCATGGAGCTTTGGGTGTTGTGAAAGGATTTCAAGTGAAATTCATGGAGCTTTGGGTGTCCTGAAAGGATTTCAAGTGAAAGTCATGGAGTTTTGGGTGTCCTGAAAGGATTTCAAGTGAAAGTCATGGAGTTTTGGGTGTCCTGAAAGGATTTCAAGTGAAATTCATGGAGCTTCGGGTGCTCTGAAAGGATTTCAAGTGAAATTCATGGAGCTTCGGGTGCTCTGAAAGGATTTCAAGTGAAAGTTGTGAAGTTCTGGGTGTTCTGAAAGCCATGAAGCTTTTGGTGTTCCAAAAGGATTGCAAGTGAGAAGCTTTGGGTGTTCTGAAAGGATTGCAAGTGAAATTCATGGAGCTCTGGATGCCCTGAAAGGATTTCAAGTGAAAGTCATGGAGCTTCAGGTGTTCTGAAAGGATTGCAAGTGAGAAGCTCTTGTCTATCTTTTCCCCACTCTCCTGTGTGCAATAATTAAGACCTTTTAAAAGGCTTCCAGGATTGACACAGTCTGGGAAAAATCCTGAACAATTAGTTTTCTACATAGAGAAGCTGAACAACTCCAGAAAACCCAAATATTGTAGGGTTGAATTCCCTTACCTCCACCACTTCAGGGAAGAGCTCACAGAAGACTTTATCTTTTAAATTAAATGCTAAGCTTTGTGCAGCGAGTTGTCTTTTCTGTGGAGGAAATAAAAACATTATCAGCAGCTGCAGAGAAATTCATTTACTCCAATCCAACACCTGATTTCCCCCAAGAAGGGCGCAAATCAACAGCCAACTGCTGTCTGTCATTTACAGCATCACACTTGTGAACATTATTCACTACAACACCTTTACAGGCACAAATGATGCTCTCAATTCTTCAGCCTGTGGGATTAGGGGGTTGTATCAGTGTGACTGCTTGGCTGGGACATCCAGAGGAAGGAAGGAAGGACAGAATCCCAACCACGCTGTTTATTTCTGAGATATCAAAATTCCAGCTGCTGATGCTGCTGTTTTCCCATGGCCAAAGCTGCCCCAAGGTCCCTCTGAACTCACTGTGAACTCAGATGTCTCTATGCTGCCCAGTGTGGGGCCTTTTTCCACCATAAAACTAAGGAGGCCCGTCAGGATTGTGGAGACTGACCAAGCTGGATTCCACGTGTCCGGGTGGAAATCAGTGATGGAAAGACACAACCTTTCAAAAAACACAGCCAAGAGGGTTGGGTTTGCCATTAAAATCATCACACAATTAGGCACCAAGTGCTGAAATGGTGTTAATTGCTTAAGTGTTAGAGAAAGGTCCTTACCTTGTGTTACACTTAAACCTTCCATTAGGTGTAATCATATAAATACTAGGAGGTTTAAAAGGGAATTCTCTGGGGAATATTAGTTTCCCATGATAATAGCCACCTGCATTATACAGAGAGAGGAATTACTTGTTTTGCATGAAGATTAAGTGCTAAACTGCTACTCAAAATGGGCCAAATAAACCCCTTGGCTTGTCTCCTTCTCCCCTTCTCCCTGAGATCAAATTCTTCATCTTGTGCCTCTAAAACTAGGGAATAATAACCCAAACCTGCACCAGATTTAGCCTGGAGGCAATTCTCTCACATTCTCTCTTACAAACAGTATTTGCTGCTGTTAAGTCTGGAATACATTGAAAGAAAACCAGCCAAAGTGTATTTAATACAATAAAACAGGTTATTTTTTCAGAAATTAAGAGCAAACACAACCCTATGGAGAATCCCAATCAAAAAAGCATTTCTGAGAGGCTCCAGAGGCCACTGTGACTACAACAAATTAACAAGGCTTTTACATTTCAAGCTTTCTCCAGAGAAATTCATATAAAGAGAATTTTTACGTCTCAGCTCACCGAGAACATTTCTGTGCTAACAAAACGGGACTTTTTGAAATGATCTTTTGTCACATGCTCTCTAAAGTGAGCTATCTGCTCCAAAATCTTTAAGAGGAAGATCTTTGTCTTCATCTTCACCTCAATTTTATTTTATTAAACCCCTTGATAACAGAAACATTCCTGACAGCAGTATCACCATCTCTTTTCCACCAGCTTTGCCACAGACTGCACTGACAGATCCTATTTTCAGTAGTTGGATTTTGCCCATTCAAACCAATATTTAATCACTAAACATTGCAAATACAACATGTGGATTTTACCTTCATAAGGTGTCATTTCAGGTCCCCTCACAACATAGTGCCTGGGAAAAGAAGGGAATGGAAACACTATTGATCCAGCACACAATCAGCCCCCATATCCCTAAAAAATGAGGATTTAATCATCCAGCCCAAGCTTCCCATGCTGAGGAGTGAGGGAGTCGGGACTTGATGACCTGGAAAATCTTGTTCTCTCTCCACGAGTGATTCCAATTCTCATTCCCACTCTTACCATTCCAGGATATTGGATGGGAGGGGCTCTGCACAGATGTAAGGCACTGGATCTTTCTTAATTCTCAGGTAGTCTTGTTTAAGCCTCTGGGTTGCTGTGGTTGGTGCTCTCTTGTTACTGTTGTTGCTCATCTAATTAAAAAAATATATAAATTAAAAATATTAATTATTATTTATATTATTTTGTTATTTATTTATTAAAAAAATAAAAAAATATTAGTAGACAAAGAGCAACCATCACTCGTGGGACACTGCTCCAGGTTTTTGCACAATCCACTTTATATTTAAAATATAAATTGAATAACCTTCACTTTTTTAAGTGGCAAGATCTTAACTAACACAGTCCCAAGAGACATCTGTACAGGATGATCCTTCCAGCTTGGGATATTCTATTCTAAAGGTCTTTTTGAGTAACTGATTTCCCTGTTCTGTAAATTTACCCGTGTTTTAAATTCATCTGCTGTTTCTACACATCCAGTTATCTAAAAAAACCAACAAACCACAATAATCTCGTTGCTGACTTGGAGGTGAAGGACTTGGAATTAAATCTGCTGCCTGCTAAGGACTGAATTTCCAGAAAGGAACTCCTGAGCCAGATTATTCTCTTCCAGACAAATAAAACCCCATCCAAAGGGAGACAAATCAGTGTGAGGGGAGGAAATTCCATGGTGTTTACAAGACAAAGAAAGAATTAGCCCTTATAATGCACCTACAGAACACACTAATTAACAACTGCTGTTTAACTCACTTTCCACTAAGAAGTTTAGGGAATTACTTGGCTTTAAACATGAAATAAAAAAGAAAGATTTTACAAACAGAGGTAAGACAATGCCCACAATATGACACGAAATATATGTTAAATTCCTACAACCCTTTCTATTCCTTCTCTGCGAACAAGCAGCCAAGTAAAATTTATTAAAGAAATAACATTTAAACCAGGAGCAACAGTTGTATGTAGTCAAATATTCCACCCCTACTCAGAATAAACCCGTTTAACCTGCCTTTTGTCAGAACTGCTGCAAATCACTGCTTGAAACAACAGATCACTTTTTTTTTGAAGCCACCACCTCCTGAAATCATAAAATTCAGAATCTTTCCCCAAAGAAGCCAGCTTTGACTTTAAAAAATTAATTAAATAATCTTTTCTTACTTCGACACGATTATTTGTTCTTTTTCAGTAATAAATTGAAGTAGTAGTAGTAGTAGTAGTAATAATAATAATTTGAAATGAGCCCTCAGTATGTGATAACAATATTATTATTATTAATATATTATTATTATTAATAATAATAATAATAATTTGAAATAAGCCCTCGCTACGTGCTACGAAAACACACCGAAACATTTCAACGCTTTAAGTGCGGTCACTGGAATTTTAACGCGCCTCAAAGCCTTACCTGGAAGAACACTTGTATCTTAAACACGGAAAATAAAGGGCTACGACCGCAAAGGCAATTTCTCACCTGGGCAATACAATGGGACGAGGAGAAGTGAAGGAGGAAAGAAGACAAGGGGGGAAGGCAGGGACGGAGGGACACAGGGAAGGAGGAGAGAGGGAGGGAGGGACTGAGGGACGGAGGGACTAAGGGAGGGAAGGAGAAGAAGAGAGAGGGACTGAGGGACAGACAGAGGGAAGGGGGAAGAGGCAGTCAGCCGGTCCCCCCGGGGGCAGCCCCCGCTCACCTCTCCGTGCCCGCCAGGCCCCGGGCGGCCCCTCCTGCCGGCGGGCGGAGGGAGGGACGCGGGCAGCGGGCGGTCGGGCCGCGATGGCGGCGGCGCGGGCGGGGCGGGCAGGGCCGGCCGGGGTCCCCTCACGGCTCCGAGCCAAGATGGCGGCGCGGGCGGCACTTCCGGGAAGGAGCCGCGGCGCTTCCGGGGCGCGCGGCCGCTTCCGCTTCCCGGGGTCGCCATGGCGGGCGCGGGGCCGTGAGGGTGGACCCGGGGCTGGGCCGGCCCGAACCCCGCCGCGAACGCGGCGTCACCGCACAAAGCCGCACGATCACAGGATGTCCTGAGTTAGAAGGGACCCACAAGGCTCACAAGTCCAACCCCTGGCCCTGCACGGGGCACCCCCACAGTCCCACCACTCAACATTCCCACCACCCAACAATCCCACCCTGTCCCCTGAGGGCGCTGCCCGAACGCCCCCTGAGCTCTGGCAGCCCAGGAGCCGCGACAAAGCCAATCGCGATTAAATAAATAGCGATAAATAAATGCCCCGTGTGCTTAGACATGGCCGTTCCGTTACAACTTTATAGAATCGGGGGATACCCCGAGTGGCGAGGGAAGGAACCCCCGAGGAGCATCGAGGGCCAGCTCGGTGTTGTGCTTTGGAGGGATTGCGGCATTGTCTGATTTATTTTTTTCCCCCTGAGGACTTGTCCATATGTGGGAGTTCTTTTTGCTAGAAATATGAGTATTTTCCTCGAATTCCCAATGTGTGTAAAGTGAAAGATGGAGAGGGATTGTTCACGTAGTGCCAGGACAAGGGGGAGCGGCCTCAAACTAACAGAGAACAGGGTTAAATGGAATATTGGGAAGAAATTCCCCCCTGTGACGGAGGGCAGGCCCTGGCACAGGTTGCCCAGAGAAGCTGTGGATGCCCCTGGATCCCTGGAAGTGTCCAAGGCCAGGTTGGATTTAGCTTGGAGCAACCTGCGCTAGTTCGAGATGTCCCTGCCCATGGCAGGGGTTGGAATGGGCTGGTCTTTAAGGTCCCTTCCAACCCAAACCATTCTGTTTTCTCACTGAATTTACCCCAAATAAAGGCAGAATTTTTCTTACTGCTCCAAAAAAAAATCAGGCATTTTCCACGTGAGTAATTCCTGCAGTGCCCACGGTGCTCGAGCTCTCCCCGGTACCCAACAGAGGGCACTGGTAGCCTGTATAATTTTTAAGTTCTTGGTTAATAGAACTGGCTTCAGTCTCCGAATCTGTTATCTAGATTTCCTCTCCTGCCATGGGGTTGGGGAGGTTAAATCAACAGCAAGAAGGAGAAATAAATAAATGGCTGTGATGTCATTACCTGTAAGTGAAAATCGAAATTGAAACCATGCATATGTGTTAAGTTTCGGTTTCTTTCTACAATTAGGACTGGAAAATACTGTGTCCTCAGACATCTTGCTCAATTTTAGTGGGATAATATATTTGGTTAATTTGGTTGATAATTCCAAGGTCAGGTTGGACGGAGCTCGGAGCAACCTGGTCTAGTGGAAGGTGGTAGGATTGGAATGAGATGATCTTTAAGGTCCCTTCCAACGCAAACCATGCCATGATGCTATGATTTTAGGATTTTCAGCTTGCTGAGGGCTGTAAAAATTTTAATTTCACGGTAGTTTCATTTTGAATGTGGCCTATTTTCCGTGATTCCCTCAGACTTCAATCACAATAACGGGATATTTCATACACAGTGTTCACAAGTCCCACCTGTGGCCACATCAGATCTCTTTGATTTAGTGAAGTTTATCAAACCAAATCTTTGAGCTGTTTTGACTTTGAAGCCATGAAATGTTTCAAGGAAAAATGTTTTGCTTCAAAACCAGAAGCAGTAGTTGATCTGTTTTGTTTTAATCTCTTACGCTGATTCATCCTCCTGTCTAATCTTATATGAGCTCACAGTTTACAAATATTTTGCAGAACAGGAAGAAGTCTTTATTTTAAATTATTCTTATTATTATTATACTTCAAGATTTCAAGCACTGTATAAAACAAGGTATTGTTGGAATGCCCTATTAGCCTACATGTATTTCAGCTAATAAATTCCCCAGGGCAGCTCATGCAGGATAACACTAATTTTATACCCTTTGACTTGAGGACTTGTTTTTAACTCAGCTACACCATTTTGTCTGGGTTTTTCTGTGTGTGTGTGTGTTTACACTGGAATTCCTACTAAGTCTGGAAATATGAGAAACGTGAACCTGGAGACTGAAGCAAAGGATGCTGAAAGGATTCCAGAACTCCCACTTAACACCTCTGGCATTGTCCCTAATGTTCCCCGAGCCCAGAGCACTTCACGCACAAGTGTGTTGTCATTAACATTCCATTAATCCCTCTGGTATGTTCTTCTCCACACTAATGACAGCGTGGAATGACACTTTGCTCTCACAGTAGTTTCTTTCTTGCCAGTTGTTTTCCAACATGCAAATGAATCACCCACTTCAGAACTTCCTCTCTGTGAAGTGTCTTTGGGGGGACTGTTGTCGTGTCTCGAAGGCATATTTAAAACCTGGCCTTGGGAAGTCACTGGAAGTTCCATATTTATGTTTTTAAATCATTAGGTGCTCCAAGTAAATAAGTACCTACTGTTAAATTGACTTGAAAGGTGATTAACTCCAGGATGGAGACAAGAGAGACAGTTCTCTATCTCATAAAGTTGGGTTTTTAATTGGATATCAGCCTGTCAGCAGGACCATGGGGGTGGTTACAGGACATGAAAACATCTTTATATGCTTTTGAACACAGACCTTTGTATTATTGTCAAAAAATCCATAACTACCTGACTTTTGCACTGCAGGAAGTTTCCCTTTCGTTGTAACTGTAATGAAAACATTGCAGATTTTCAGGACAGGTACGAAGAAGAGGAACCATAATTTGTTTCATTTGTGTTTTCTATACACAGAATTAGGATCAGAATTCTATTTGGGGGTGCCTTTGAGAAGTCCTTGGGCTGCAGCATCTCCATCAAATGAAAGCAGTCAGTTATAATGTGTTCTCTTACTTTACACATCCATATAATATGATCCCTGACGTGAATCCCAGTGAGACTCCTGATCTGCTCATCTTATTTGCTGTCTGAAGCCACCAGCTGGCACCACATAAATATTTTGGAGGTGCCAAGGCAGAATTTTCTTGCTGTGAAGAGGTTTTTCCTGCCTACAAGCACGAGCTGCCTGAAAGAAATCATTGCCCAGGGAATAAATGCAGGAGCATCGTGTGGTCTCTCCTCCTGGAACAGGGACCTCAGGGAATGGAAGGTGCCAGACAAATCCTGCCCTAAAACACATCCAAGATGCAGAGCAAGCCAAAGCCAGAGGGCTCAGTAAAGAAGAAGGTCTGGGAGTGCTACCCAAAGTAGGGGGGAGTAAGTGGGACAGAGGGAAAGGGGCTTGGATGGAACACAGAAGGAGAGAAGAAATCGGGGGAAAAAAATCCTCGAGGGCCTCAGAACGAAGGGGACGTGGTGACCTTGATCCCAATGGGCTGGGAGGTGTCAGGCACGGGACTGAACCTTTGCAGAGCCACAGGGAAGGAAAGAATGAATCTTTAGGATGTTGTTAAGGAAGAACAATCACCTGGAAGAATTTATGCCGTGAGTAAGAGGTGATTTAGCTGAGACATCTTCTCTCGTTGGGCAAGGGAGCAGCGTTTATGAGCCTTGCTGTTGGCAGTGTTTCCACAGCTGCAAGTTGCTCAGTGATGCTGCAGAAGCCATTTTTTATTTATTCCACATAAAAACATGTGCCAGACGCTGTTCTCTGAGAGTCCTTGGTTAGGATTTTGGGGTTGTGCTGTGTTTAAGCATTAATAAATATTGCTGGAGTGTATTAACTTTTTAAAGAGTTATGTCTTCGTTTTGGGGGATGCAAATCTTTCACGAGTTCAAGTTTTTTTTCTTTTTTGGGAGAGGCTTTCAGTAGAAGAAAGTTGGAATTGTGAACCTTATTAAAGGCAGAAGGATAGTTGCTGTTCAGTCTTCTCTGGAAGGAATTCTTGGCTGGGAGGGTGGGGAGGCCCTGGCACAGGTTGCCCAGAGAAGCTGTGGATGCCCCTGGATCCCTGGAAGTGTCCAAGGCCAGGTTGGACAGGGCTTGGAGCAACCTGGGCTAGTGGGAGGTGTCCCTGCCCATGGCAGGGGTTGGCACTGGATGAGCTTTAAGGTCCTTTAAGGTCTCTTCCAACCCAACCCATTCCATGATTCCATAATGATTCTCCATCCCTGGTACCTGAACGTGCTGCAGTTGTGCAGGTGAGAGCAGAGACACCCAGGAACTAAATCACTGTCCCAGGGTCATATTTCCTCTGACTGAGCCCATGTTTTCCACTCTCTGAGCTGGAATTCAACCCAAGACACGTCCTCAACCAAGAAACCTTCCGAGACCTTTCTGTGAGAGTTCAGAACAGGAATACAAATGTCTTGGCCAGATTTAGCTCAAGTAATTATATCCTGCCTCCCTCAACTCCCTTCCAGTTTCAGGTGCATGTGGGATGCATCACTTCCAGGGCTAAACTATGAGCAATGGCATTTGCATTAAAACATCTTACTCCTTTCCCATCCCAAAGCAGTGCCATTTCCTTGATGGATTTTTTGGTGTTGATTTTCTCACAAAGTGCTGCTAAGTTGGCTGTCTTTTAATCTTTGCCCCAAAAGGAAATTTAGAGGTGTTTTCTCTTTATTTCTCTTCCTTTTTTTTGGCTCTTTTATCCTCCTGAGGGGTTTTATTGCTTTACCACGCTGAGTAATTTTCCTGCAGTGATCCTTTTGGCACATTTGTTTCACAGTGTTACAGAAATATAGCATATTATTTTCTAGTAGAACTGTAGTAATTTCTAGAATTCTCCAAACCCTTTGATTCTGTGGGAAGCTGATCCTCATTATTTTTCTTAATGAAAACTAAGTTGTTCATAAATTGCTTCACGTGGGTGATCACCTCGAGCTTCAGAGAATGGTTCCTGAGTCTCACTGATTCATCCCTGATCACGAGGAAATTATTCAATTGTTTTGAAGCCCCATTTTTCTCCCTGTCTAAAGAAGGGATAATGTGATTTATCAGGCTTTACTGGGAGCATTCACACTTAATCATTTGGTGTCACCAAGTTGGAGC